CTGTTAACACTTCTAGTTAGGCAGATCTATTAGCAATAAATTCCCTCAATTTTTGTTTGCTTGAGAAAATCCTTATTTTTTTTTCATTTTTGGAGGGAAATTTCACACACAAAAAAGAATTTTAGGTTGGTATGTCTCAACATGTTAAATATTTTACCCTACTCTCTTTTTGCTAGCATGGTTTCTGAAGAGTAGTCAGATGTAAATTTATCTATAAGTGAATCATTTCCCTTCCCTGCCCCTCACTTTTTTCAGGACTTTTCTCTTTGTCTTTGATTTTTTTGGTACTTTGAATATAATACATGCAATCATAACTTACTTGCTTCTTCCTTTCCTCTTTTTCCTTTAATTTTTATTTTCTCTTATGTTTATCCTTGGGATTCTCTGAATTTTCTGGATCTTTACTTTTGTTTCTGACATTAATTTGGAGAAATTCTCAGTCATTACTGTTTCAAATTTATCTCTGTTCATTTCTCTTATTTTAATCCTTTGGTATTTTCATTATGTGTGAGTTATGCCTTTTGTATTCCAYAATTCTTCAATATTCTYATTTTTTGAAGATTTTATTTCTTTTTGTATTTTAGTCTTCCTTCTTTTCTTTCTTTCTTTTGTCCTTCCTTCCTTCCTTTCTTCCTTCCTTCCTTCCTTTCTGTTGAGGACCAAACTCAAGACTTTGCATGTGCCAGGCAAATGCTCTACCACTGAGCTAAATCCCCAACCCCTGAATTTTGATTTTCAAGTTTTAGTTTAGAATCCTCAGGTTATGATTTTTTTATTTAATTGTATTCCATCTACTGATAAACCTATAAAAGTTATTCTTTTTTTCTGCTACAATTTTTGATCTCTAGCATTTCTTTTAAATTCTTTATTGGAATTTCCACTGCTCTATGTACATTGCCCATGTGTTCTTGAATGTGTTCCACTCTATCCATTAGTACCAGTGGCATACTAACCATAGTTTTTAAAATTCYCAGACTGATAATTCCAATTTTCATGCTATATCTGAGTCTGGGTTGGATGCTTTCTCTGTGTATTCAAACAGTATTATTTGCCTTCTAGTATGYCTTGTAATATTTTTCTTAATAGGCAGATAGGATGTGCTGGGTAAAAAGGAAAAAAAAARRAAAMYKKTWWTWARRRRAWTTTWRKWA